GTGGGAAGAGGTGAGGGAGAGGGAGAGTGGGCGGGATGGTGGGATGGCTCTGGGTGCCTGAAAGGTCTGGGGAGATGTGGCTGGCAGAGCAGACCTTGTCCCGTCCTGACCCTGGTGTGGTTAGGAGTCTAATGGGGGGACCAAGGCTCTGTCCTTCCCTGGGGGGTCATGGGGCGGCGGGGGGGGAGGAGTCAGCCAGAGCCTGGCAGGAAGGCAGCTCTTTGGTCCTGGGCATGGGCATTGGGCAAACCTCTCCCAAGCCGGCTGCTGAAGCTCCCTATGGTGGGTGTGGCTTCGATTCATGGGCCACAGGGGTCCCTGGAGGGGCTGCTCCGGCCTCTAGTGCAGGGGTGGGGAGGACCAGGGCAAGGCAGGGTACCAGGCCCCACCCCTGCCCCAGCTACAGCCAGATACCTGCCCTGGAGGAGGGCGGGGGCCAGGAGGCCAGCCTACCTGTCACACTCAGCAGGGATGGGAGCTTGCCCTCCGCGGGGTGGGTGGTGCTGAGATCAGCCCCAGCCCCCTCAGCACCCGTGGCTGCACGTGCTTGTCCCGGGCTCTCCCTTCCACGCCTGGGCAGCCACGCTGGCATGGGGAGCCGGGAGCCTCTGACGGAGATCATTCTGCTGGCTGAGGAGGCACAGCCAGCCTGTTCAGAAATGCCAGGCTGTGGGGCAGTGGGTACTCCCCACCCCTCACCCACCGCCCAGCTCCTACCGGATGATGCTAGAAACGGGCTCTGGCCTTAGTGACGGAGCCAGGCCGACAATGCGGAGCGGGAGGCTGACACTGCGGTTCTCCAGCCCCTCGGGGAGGGGAGCGGGGCCAGCCCCCAAGGGGAAACACTGATGGACAAAGACCCGTCCGGGCCAGCTTCGCAGCCCTGGTGGGCCGGTCGATGCAGAGGAGTGATGGTGCACCTGGGACTGTGGGGCATCTGAGGGAGGTTTATTGGCGGCAACTGATTTCCCTGGGGGCCCTCGACGGAGATCATTCTGCTGGCTGAGGAGGCACAGCCAGCCTGTTCAGAAATGCCAGGCTGTGGGGCAGTGGGTACTCCCCACCCCTCACCCACCGCCCAGCTCCTACCGGATGATGCTGGAAATGGGCTTTGGCCTTAGTGATGGAGCCAGGCCAACAATGCGGAGCGGGAGGCTGACACTGCAGTTCTCCAGCCCCTCGGGGAGGGGGGGCCAGCCCCCAAGGGGAAACACTGATGGACAAAGACCCGTCCGGGCCAGCTTCGCAGCCCTGGTGGGCCGGTCGATGCAGAGGAGTGATGGTGCACCTGGGACTGTGGGGCATCTGAGGGAGGTTTATTGGCGGCAACTGATTTCCCTGGGGGCCCTCGCTGGCAGCAGCCACCATGGTCCCCAGAACTGACGGTGTCAGGCTGGAAGAGCGGTGGGGAGGCCCGGTGCCCAGTGGAGGAACTTTGGTTATTGGTTGGCTGGGCCTGGACCGAGCCCCGTGATGGGCATACAGTGGGCAGCTGGGGTCATGGGTGGGGCAGAGGCCGGGAGGTCGGTGGAAGGGCCTGTGCGGGAGAGGGGTCAGAGGGAGGGGAGACACACTCTCAGGTGGGGGCTGTGGGGTGGAGGGCACCAGGTAGCACAGTGATAGGACAACTGAGGGACCCAGGGGGAGACACCCAGACGGGCAGGTGACGACATGGGCCTAGCCTAGGCCCTAGGGCAGTGATGGCGAGCCTTTTGAGCTCGGCGTGTCAGCATTTTGAAAAACCCTAACTTAACTCTGGTGCCGTGTCACATATAGAAATTTTTTGATATTTGCAACCATAGTAAAACAAAGATTTATATTTTTGATATTTATTTTATATATTTAAATGCCATTGAACAAAGAAAAATCAACCAAAAAAATGAGTTCGCGTGTCACCTCTGACACGCGTGTCATAGGTTCGCCATCACTGGCCTAGGCAGTGGTCGGCAAACTCATTAGTCAACAGAGCCAAATATCAACAGTACAACGATTGAAATTTCTTTTCAGGGCCAAATTTTTTAAACTTAAACTATATAGGTAGGTACATTGTTATTAACTTAATTAGGGTACTCCTAAGGCTTAGGAAGAGCCACACTCAAGGGGCCAAAGAGCCGCATGTGGCTCGCGAGCCACAGTTTGCCGACCACGGGCCTAGGGCATCAGGAAAGACCCCTTGCTTGCAACTTGGTCCACCCTCCTCATTTTTTCCAACCCAGTCGGGCTGCCCCCTCCTGCCCACACTGCTGGGCTCAGGTCCCCTGTGGCCACCACCTTCCTGTGTTCTGGCCACGCACATCGAGTCCCTCCTGGCGGCTTCCCTGGTCCTGACGTCGCTGAGGGTCACCAGCTGCCGGTCCCCAGGCCTTGGCCCTCATCGGGGAGAGGCCCTTCCCTTGCCAGTGGTGCTGAAATAGGTTTCCTTTTGTCCCCACAGTTTAGTGACAAGGAGCAGGGCCTGATCCAACTGTTGTCACCACACAGGCTGTGCTCCCCGAGAACTGAGTGCTCAGGTGCAGGAGTGAGGGGGGTCCCGGGAGGACCAGCTTTCAGCCCGAGAGCTCAGCTCTTCCTCTGTGACGGGGCTGGTGGCCTGGGCACAGCCCCTCCCCAGGCCCTGGCACCTGAGCTCCCGCTCTGGGCTTCACTGGCCCCACACCTCCCCCACCTCTGTCTTTTCTTCTCTGTTTCTTGTCTCCACCTCTCATTCCTCTTGGTGTTGCTTCATGTTGTCACCGACCCAGGTGACAATGTCCCCTCTTCCCTGGACTCATGTCTCTACCCCGGATCTGGACCTGTCTCTTCTTGGCCCTCGGGCCACGTGGGATCGTTCAAACACGTACACATTGTACCCGTGCTGCCCTGGGCCCGGTCCCAGCTCAGCACGCTTCCTGCACTCCCCGGCCCCATCTGTGCCTCAGTCTCCCTGCTCGCCCCCTGGGCTGAGGACAGCTGTCTTGGATGTGGTGGGCAGGCTGGTCCGGGATATCTGACAGCGGTCACTCTTTACTCCCACAGGTCTGGCCACTCTGAAATGGGTTCAGCTCTGCCCCGTGTCTGTGCCGTGTGGCCCTGGGCATGTGGCCCTGAACTGGTCTGCTAATAGGGCACCCACACCCCCTGGCAGCTACTTCCCTGTTCTGTCTCTGTGTGACTTGAGGAGGCACAGGGTGAGCACAGGATCTCGGGCAGTGTCCAAACACCCCACCCACCTCCCAAGCTGGTCCAGGCTCTGCCCAAAGTCAGACTCGAGGTTTCCCCAGAGCAGTGCCTGGCTCAGAGCCACGCTGAGCGCGGCCCAGGGTCCACAGTCCGGCCTGACCCTTCTGTGCAGGGCTCTGGGAGGCTCCTGGCCCCAGAGGACTCGGGGCTGGCGAGGCAGGGACAAGTGGCTGTTTTGAAGTCCCCAGCAAGGACAGTGGGGACAGATGGCTCTTGGCAGGATATGTGCCCCCACACTGCGAGGCCAGCTGTCCCGAGCCGGCATGGAGCGAGGCTTCTGGCAAACCCCGAGGAGCCGGGTCTGGGGGTGGCCAGGGGCCTGGGGACGCTCGGGGCCTGTGGTTGGGGCTTGAGGCCCACAGTGGGGCGGGGCCCAGGAGTGCAGGGGGTTCCTGACGTGTCCAGCCTTAACTTTTCATTGACTTTCATAACTATTAAAGAAAGCACTTTTTAAAAATATATATTTTTTTTAATTGATTTTTTACAGAGAGGAAGGGGGAGGGATAGAGAGTTAGAAACATCGATGAGAGAGAAACATTGATCAGCTGCCTCCTGCACACCCCCTACCGGGGATGTGCCCGCAACCAAGGTACATGCCCTTGACTGGAATCGAACCCGGGACCCTTGAGTCCGCAGGCCGGAGCTCTATCCACTGAGCCAAACCGGTCAGGGCAAGAAGGCACTTTTTCTTTTTGGTGGAAATTAAAACATAATGATTCTGAAAATGATAGAGAAACTAGAAAGTTCGCCCCCCGGCCTGCCCCTCTTGGCATGGACTTCCCTTCCGTCTCGCTGGGCCGGCCCCACAAGCCCCCGATGCCCGGCTGCATTCGAGTCTGGGCCCTGCTTTCCCGTGAACATGGCCTCCAGCGCTGCGCCCAGAGACTCCCCGGAAATGGGCTCATGGCGCCTGTGTTCCCTCCTTCATGGAGCCGAGCTCCCCTGGCCGGGTATGTGCCCACAGCTGCGCGTCATCAGCGAGCCAGCAGAGGAGGCCCGGGGATACACCTGCTGCCTGCGTCCTCTGAGGGTCGGTTCCTGGCGGCAGCGCACAGCATGGCCAGCGCCACCCCTGGGAAGAGAAAGCTTTGCTGCCTTCTGTGCCTCTCCCACCAGGCCAGGCCCACCAGAGACCCAGCCCCGCCGGTGCCCTTGCCAGCCCGGCCAGCCTTTGGGCCTTCACCCCAAGCGTCTCCTGTGGCACCTGCCAGGTGGCCTCATCAGGTGTCACAGAAGGAGGCCTTCAGGCCTTGAGTGTGCGGGGCAGGGCCCCGGGTTCAAGTCCAGCCTCTGCCTCATGTCCTTGTTTGTGGGGGGCTGGCAGTGCCACGCTGGCGGGAGCCTCCGGGCACCCTCTGAGCGAACATGTGAGGCTGTCCTCAGGGCCCGACCTGTGAGTGCGCCCAGGAAAAGGGGGCTTTGAGTCCATGGTATGTGTGGGGCCCCGAGGCGCCTTCTAGGGTGTCGAGGAGGGAGCCCTTTGCCATGCCAGGCCTGGCCCAGTCATCCCCCGGCCTCCCTGGCTTGGCAGGGATGGGCGTTGGCAGAAGAGGCTGAGGTTGGCCCTCCATCCCAGTCACCAGCCAGGCTACCCCAGACGCCTATCCGTGAGCGCTTGTCACGGGGCTCGGGGGGCTAGTTTGAAGGCGAGCAAACTGCCTGCTGGAACACGCACGTCCTCGTCCTGGCCCCTCGCCACCCGGCGCCGTCACGGCAGATGCCAACTGCGAATGTCAGAGCCAGTGACTAAGTCGCATTGGACTGAGTCTTGTTCTCCTCTGTGCCAGGCCTCCACAGCCCCCATGGCCACCCCCACCCCCAACAGGAATGCAGCCTTCTGTCCCCTGCTGGCATTATGGGAGGGAGCTGCCACCATGGCCACAGGAGGCTTTATGGGTGGGCGAGGGCTTAGGGAGGAGATGCTGGCGTTGAGCTGTGGGGCCACCCATGATCCACTAGAGTGGCCCTTGGGACTCCTGGCTGTGTCTGACTTCACTTAGGCTGGGGTGGCTGGGCTGAGTGAGGCTCTAGCACCTGGCCTGGATCCATGAGCCACGGCAGCCCAGCGTGTCCGTGGCTTTGCTGGACACGGTCGGGAGAGCAGAAGATACCATCTGGGTGGGAGTCATTTCACTGTTGGTGTGAAGCGGGATTCGTAAGCGTACTCACCAGGGACAAATGTGATCTGTCCAGGAGAGCTGTCTGTTTATCTGTCCTCCCAAAGACCTCTCCAGACCCAGGGTAGAGACAGGGGGGAAGGGTCCCCAAGGAAACCCTGCATGAAACAAAGTGGAGAGGTTCCCTGCAGGACTTCTCAGTGCCTTGAGCAGGTGAGCTAGAGGGGAGTCTAACAGATGGGAGTAGCCTGCCTGTGATGTCTATCCAGGGGCCCTGTGCAGGAATTCGGATGAGACCGGGGCTGCCTGGGACCAACAGAAGGAGGTGGGAGACCCTGTTTCCAGATGTCACCTCTGAACTGGGGTTGAGATTCTGTCATTTCACGTCCCCACCAGACAGCGCTCCCAGGAGATGCCCTATTAGTGCTGCACTGACCCTCGGTGGGGGTGCTCTCCCTGTAGGTGAGGGAGCCCTGTCCTCTGAGATGTGACGGGACCCGGTTTGTAGCTGAGGAGTGGCTGGGACCAGGGCCCCTCCCAGCTCCGTGCGTAGCCGACGCTGCCTGCTGGGGAGGGCTCCAGCCTCTGCAGGTCCCGGGCCTCGTGGGATTTTATAACATGTTTTGTTTTCATTGTTTGGACGGATACCTTCTATTTGCCTCCTTCAATGCTTGTTTTCCATTTCCAGTGGTGCTGTAAGATTTCCTTTCAAAATATAATCACTTAAGTAAAAAAAAAAAATCCATTTGAAGAAAACTCTCCAGTAAACAATAGTGAAGCAGGTGGGCAGACGCCGGATGGAGCGGCGCGTGGGCCTGGGC